ACTACGACGACGACGACGACTTACTACGACGACGACGACGACGACTTTTTACTACTACGACGACGACTTTTTACTACTACTACGACGACGACGACTTTTTACTACTACTACGACGACGACGACTTTTTACTACGACGACGACGACTTTTTACTACGACGACGACGACTTTTTACTACTACGACGACGACTTTTTACTACTACGACGACGACTTTTTACTACTACGACGACGACTTTTTACTTCGACGACGACGACTTTTTACTTCGACGACGACGACTTTTTTCTTCGACGACGACGACTTTTTACTACGACGACGCCTTTTTACTACTACGGCGACGACTTTTTCTACGACGGCGACGACTTTTTACTACGACGGCGACGACTTTTTCTACGACGGCGACGACTTTTTACTACGACGGCGACGACTTTTTACTACGACGGCGACGACTTTTTACTACGACGGCAACGACGACTTTTTACTGCGAAGATGATGACGCCTTTAATACGACGACGACTTTTTACTGCGACGATGATGACGCCTTTAATACGACGACGACTTTTTACTGCGACGATGACGACTGCGACGACGACGACTGCTACGCCGCCGACGACGACTGCTACGACGACGACGACTGCTACGACGACGAACTGCTACGACGACGACGACGATGACTGCTACGACGACGACGACGACTCGATTACGACGACGACGACGACGACTGCTACGACGACGACTCTATTGCGACGGCGACGACTCGATTACGACGACGACGACAACTCGATTACGACGACTTCTCTGCTACGACTAAAACTACTCTGCTACGACTAAGACTACTCTGCTACGACTACTACTGGTTCTTATTGCTCTCTACTTGTCAGACTATAGCAGCACTGCCGTGACTTGCCGTTACTACTATGACTGACAATGGCTGGTCTTGAGCTTAAGTGGTGTTACAAATAGCAAAAAGGGATATAAGTAATGATACATGTTTTCATCCATTTTTAATTACTGTGACGTTTTTCAGAACATGATAACTCCAAAATCACTGTTTTGAGACATAAACATTTTTAGCTTCATTATCGTTTTCAAAATGATATTGAGTGTTTATGCAAATACAAATGAAAATACAATATACTGGCATGTTGTTTAACCAAAAACATGCATGTGTGCATTACCTTCACTTCTAAATAGTTATAATTTGTAGGAATGTAAAGTAAGGAATGGATATATCAGGTTCTGACCAAATGCTGTGAGGTGCTCAGAATGTGGTAACTCCAAGAATTTCTGATCTTCTTTTAAATTTATTTTAATGCACAGTTTTAATGAAATATCGTCATTAATTATGAAACTGTCATAACTCACCACTTTTTAAATTTAAATCATGTATATCTCCCTACAGCCCTTCAAAATTATCTCTTTAAATAATCTTATGTATAATGTATTTTGAAAATATAAGTAGTTTTCACATAATTTTGAGTGAAATCTCATTAATTTCTTAATAAATTGAAATTAACATGTACTATTAAAAAATACATAAACAAGATTTTGTGAAGAACAGTTTCAATTTTTTTCATTAAGATTTCATTAAATAATTTCATTATTTAATTTAATTATTTAATTATTTTTGCTCATATAGAGTAAACTTAACATAATAATATAGTTTGGGCCCCTTTTCCATTAATTCCTCTGCAGCAATTCTTAAATTGAATGTGTACAAAATTCTTGACGAGTTGCAACCAGAAATATTGTTGCAATTAATTAATACAGTTTTACGATTTTTCAAATAGAATTAATTAATGTAATAAGGTTGTGATGCTATTAGTGTTATAACTATACCAAATGAAAAAGAAATGTTTTTGAAAATGATGCTCTCAGCGCACAAAGTCGTATTTTGGAGTTATCAGGTTGTGACCAGCCACCATGGAATTTTTTACTGTTTATATAGTGAAACTTCTATGTACTGAAAGTGGTTTATATTATGTTGTATTCAATAACCAAGAGGTTTGTGAAACAGTGTTACTTAGACCACTTACTAATTCTGGAGGTATCAGGTTGTGACCAGCCACCATGGAATTTTTTACCATTTATACGGTGAAATTTCTTATACTGAAAGTAGTTTATATTATGTTGTATTCAATAACCAAGGGGTTTGTGAAAGCGTTACTTAGACCACTTGCTAATTCTATACAAATCAAAATGTGCATTAATTCTAAACTGGTATGTTCATATTCAAGACACTTCCCGGAAAAATTCACATAAGCCCCTTGAGATAATTAATTGTTAGGTTCAAAATCACAACTTGAATTTTAAATAAATTGTTATATGGACTCCACTACCAGCCAACTTACTATTACTACTAAAACCGTGATCTCCAATAGTTCTACTGCAACTACTATTATTTCTATGACCGTCTCTATGCCAATCTTTCCCACCAACATTACTCCCAATGCTGTTATTAATGCCCACATGTCCAGAGTCATTATTAATGTATTTACTGAAACTAAGGCTACTTAATTTTTATTAGTACCGTAAACACGGGCTCCTTTTGTCCACCTTTCTAAAATTACAAACTCACTTTACCCAAAACTCAATAGTATTACTACTCAAACCTTGTTTTTCTACCATACACCATTGTTTATGTCTAATTAATACAAGGCTTCCTTCAGTTCGAGTTAACGTAAATATAATTATTTTAGGACTACATTTCCTTGCAGTTGTTACTTAAGCTCTCTATGGCTTCAAAGTACACACTTGGATGTGTAAATCTGTAACTTCCTAAAATGAACACACATGAAATGAGACATTGTTTAGGCATTAAGCATAATTATAAAATGTATAAATATGGCTTCTTATGGGGCTTAGAAGGAGGGTTGCGAAATGAACACTTAATTTGGCCAAATTAGGTAGTTGTCTACTATTAAATTATTTACAGAACAACCAAATTATCCAATCTTTGCACTTTGGTTAAAATGAATAGTGTTTCTAAATAATTCTTACCAAACTGCAGTTAGCAGGTTTAGAAAACCTTGAAAGTTTCAGAGTTGCAAAAACATGTTCTATTATGGTTTACACAATCCTCCTCTGCTGCCAAATGGGAAATTTGTGGCCTATTAATACACTTTGTTTTCTTGCTTGCTGCTGATAACTAGAAGAATCTAGTGTCATAAAAAGAAAAATACTTAATTAGACAAATGGGAGTGTTTTATTACTTAATTATTTTGGGCCAAAGTAACCCGTATTTACAGTTAAAATGTAAGATATCACCAAATTGAATATCCTCCATCTCAACAACTCTAATTTGTAATATTGAGATTGCTTTCTACTTAAATGTATTTTTAATTTTCTTATGTTTTTATAATAAATTTTAGAACTTGCACTGAAATGAAAGTACATGTACTCTTGTTATTATATTATTGTTATATTTATGTGTTCAGTTATGAGTGCGTATATGCTGTTAAATGAAGTGGTTGAATCTTTTAATGAATTTATGTCCTATGTAATTCTTATTTGACTCTCTTTGTAGGATATTTCTGTACAAAAATATGTATTAAAAATGTACATTTTTTACCATTGGGAAAATAAAGTTAATACTGTGTATATTTAACTTCGTTGATACCATGTGTAACACATCATAACATCTGTGATATTTAAAACATGTTTTGAAGACTTCAGTATTGACCTATCCATAATATTGTATCTGAAATATTGTGTAACATAAGATGATGGTAAGGTGGTAAAAAGTGCCCCTAAGCAAAATGAAGTAAAACATTTTAAACAATACATCTGGCTCAAACTAAACAACTGAAGAAGCGGAAACTGTTACTCGGAGTCTGCTTCCTCAAAAATGAAATCTAATAATGCAACAGACTTGTTCTCAGAATAAACAGGTACGCTTGTACTTCGCGAATCTTCAATAATTCGCTGCCTTTTCTTCTCATTCGCCTTAAAGACATGCAGTTTTGGGTAAAATGATTAACAAGAGCGTTCCTGGTTCTGCACCGACACGTAGGAATTTCGGAATTCGCACTGTAAATATGGTTTTTGAATACAGAAATCAACTTATAGGATGTATGCAGGAGATTCAAGAAGAATTTACCCAAGTAAATGCAATATATCGGCTCGTGGCTAGCTCACATTCCACTATGCGGCCCCGGTTCGATTCGCGGTCGGGCCAAGATTATAGTGTGCGTATTCCTTACTATGTCCCAGTGTATGTTGCTGTGCGACGATGAGAAAATTCACGTCTCATGTTGAGAAGACCGGAATATGGCGTGGGGATGTCTACGTGCTAACCACACGTACCCCCTTCACCCATGACCGCGAGGCAGGGACGTCGCCGGTAGGCCTGAGCCCGTATACGGGCTGTCGCGCCAAGTACATACAAATGCAATAAATCAAGCATTGACAATAGAGCGAATGTTAGAAAATGAAGTATTTGCTTTTAGTTAACTTTTTTCACCATATAATGCCTCATGTAGACATCCTATACAACCAGTTGCAGAAAAGGCAAGTAGATCCAGTTTATGCCCAAGAAGTGGTATAGTCGTTTGAATGAAGATTCAAAGACTAAGAGAGAATATAAATCAAGTAATTGAAGAAGCCGCGAATTTTTCCGCTAGTACCTCAGTACATGAAACAAAGAAGAAGAGAATAGATGAGCCAGGGAATGTTCGTCGTGCTAATGCAATTGAAATATATGATGTGATTACTTACAGTTTAAAGCTTCGATTCGAATTTATTGGACACTAAGTAGCTTCAACCCTTTTATTGCCAGATTATTTTGAAAAATTCGCGAAATCATTTTCCTCTCATGAGTTAAATATTACTCTAAAAAACTATCCTTCCCTAGAAAAAGAACGCTTGGAAACAGTTATCAGTCCTATGCGATAGACAGGAATTTAAGATATTCCAAGGAAGTCACGCCTCTTCTAAATTGTTTGCATAGAAATAACTTGTCAGATAATTTTAAGGAAATTAAGTTGCTAGAAATCCTGCTAACTATCCCCATCCCCAGGCTAACTATCCCTGAGGCAGACAGATGTTTTTCGACTTTGAAGAAGGTACAAACTTTCTTACGAAGCACCATATACCATTGTGTCAGGAAAGACTCAATGCGCTCGCTATGCTTTCTATCAAAAGAGACTGTATCTAAAATTTCGAACTTCAATAACAGAGTAATAGAACATTTTGCCGGCCAGATAGATCGTCGACGGGTCTTCATTTATAAGAAATAAGGTAAGAAAATGTTTATTATCTTATTCGAATATTCACGAATCCCGTTTGTTGCAAGGGCCTTTCTGCTAAGAGAGCAGAATTATCAGGCTTTATGTTGTTGGCCCACTGTCGCACGAAACGTGTGTCGTCTTCGGATTCTGTACACGAGCCGCTGACGTGGTCCAGCGATAGACGAGTGTAGGGCACGCGTGACATCAAGGGAACGTGTGTAAGACTTCTCAGCGTAATTTCGTGGCTGGATAAGGAAATATAGTTCTTTTTAGAGATGCTCTTTATCAAAACACGATGACACCGGGCATATATTACGTGACAAGTTGATTTTATACGGACCAGGTCAAAGAGTAACAAAGTAAGTTATAAAAATGATTTTCCTTGTCATTTCCGTCCTGGCCTAGAGTCCAACTTCTAATACAGCGCGGTGCAGAACCACCATGTTATTTACTCATGAGCCGCCACTGGGGCCTTTCCGTTGCTAGCCTCGGCGAAGCTATACCCTCGCCTACTGCGTTGTAACGTGCCCCGCGTGACATCGCCCTCGCGCGCCATAAAGGCCCATTCACAATGCAAACGTAAACATAAGCATGGCGTTGATATAAAAGCTAGGACTTCGTCCATAAGCGGAATCATTCACAATGCGTTCGCATAAGCAAAACACGTAAGACGTTAACTTAAAAGCTTCAAGCTTCTGTGCTTATGCTTACGGACGACATAAGAAATGAACCAATCACAAAAAGGTAACTCAAAATCGAGAATCGAAATTGGACCAAAGTCGATAGCAGAACTAACGCCATGTGGGACATAGACAGAGTCGATATCTTGAAATCGATTCTCACATCCAACCAGAAAGTGTCACCGCCAATAGGAACTTATTTTGCTTACGTTGTTGTTAGGCATTGTGAATACTTCAGTCTATCGCTTATATTAATGTTTGTCTATGCGTTATGCTTATGTTTACGTTTGTATTGTGAATGGGCCTTTAATCGTGCTGTCACGTCCAACGAGGTGGTGCCCCGGCACCCCCTCTTGGCAATTCGCTAAGCATGCCCGGCCGAAGGGTGGAGGCCATAAAACATGTGAGCATTGGATTCCTAGATTGGGCATAACTCTACAACAATTCATGTTCTATCGGAAGCCACAAAACCTCGGGGTGAGCACCTTTCATCCGCACCCCCCGCCGCCGCACATGTACGACAACGGGCCGATATCCGGGTCCAGCCGGAACCCAGTTTGCCCTCACGGCAACCTTCCCATTCAATGCCTAGGGTGGACCGCCCCGCCAGCTCAGAGCTACTAGCTTGCCAGGCCAGTACCGGAGTCAATATCATCGTATGATACGTATGTACTCACATGTGCCGGGACACCGAGTGTCTCCTCTTCGCCCGGAGTATTGTCCACTGCCACGACGAATCCGAGAGCCTCACAGGGGGCCACCCGAACTAAGATGCGGGTGATGGATGATACAGCCTACGACAGAAGCAAACACATGATCGAGCAACGGCACCTGAAAGGGGTGAGGGAGAGCATGGCGAGTATACAGCGGGAGAGAGAAGAGAAATAACACTTGGAGACTAGGCAGCGGAGGCAACACTGGGTCATTAGGCCGCTGAGGCAACAACACTTCTGCCTTCTGTTACGTCGAGACATTTTGTGAAAATTTGCTCCTCTAAGAGCGGACTCAGTCGCCCTAACATTTCCAGAAATCATCACGTACTGATCAACTCTTGTTCGGCAGATTACTAGTCCGTGCCTGCCCGTATAAACTCTCTGATAATGCCCCAACTTTAACCGGAATGAATTCCATTTCTCGGGCGAGTCACGTTGACGCCCGAAAGGCGCCTGCTGAGGTGCGCTGCTTGCCGTCATCTGCGAGCCTTGAAGCGGAGAGGTGACGTTTGGCGGCCTTACCCGGCGTGTTTCTTCACACATCTTGGTCGGCGCCAAAGAGGGACCTCGCCACGAGTCCGTCGCTTGCCGTTCACTGATGCCTTCGCCTGGCTAGCGCGGGGACGCGTCTACTTCCTGGCGGGCGCAGGCCTCCATTTTCATCGGGGCGTTGTCTGGAGTGAGCGACCCGGACAGCACCCTTTACGGCCCTGCGAACATGCAATTCTGCCAATTGAGGTTACATCAAACCAATCTGTACAGGCCCTGTCCGTAGTCAAGGAACTGTACATTTTCCGGACAGAGGAGTTTTAATTGGTGGACATTCGTTTTGTAAAATACAATCCAATTTAAATAATCGTCTTCCGCCGCTTTGACGGGTAACACTTAAAACAAGTCTATAAGCCTATGATTTCAAGTAGCGTGTACGCATTTGCATCCCTTCGACCCAGAGCAGCTCACCTCTGAGATTCTCTTCGCCGGAGTCGGATTTCAGGTTCCTATACGCCTGACACCCATAAATAAAAATTCAGCGCGTGTGGCTTGAAATCCATTGCGGTATTGAACACACGACGTGTGCGACGGTGCCTAGCCGTGGTAACCGGTGCGGATCATTACAATACCTATGCGTAAACCACGCAGCTTTCTTAGGAATGCAGGCTTCCTGGCTCTCTTCGTGAACGCCACTTCGTGAACATGTTAAAAGTAAATATTTCACAAGCGGCAACAAATCGAGCCTAGGGGTCGGCCGCATTACAGTATGTACTTATATTTAATATTTTCCGTTTTATATTTTTATACAATGAAATTGAAACTATTGACCGTTATAATATATTCATGTATATATAGTAGAGTATTAATTGTCTGTACTTATTTGGACACAATAATAGTGTTAACACTAATTCAAGATTGTGTAAATTAACCAACGACATATAAAAGTGTAACAATATGCAAAATTATATAAATTTAACAATAGAAGTATAATTTTGTTTGATTTTAGTTCCAAAAGAGCTATGTTCTTGGAAAAATTGGGCCACAGAGCGTGCGGTGACGCGGCAGTCAGATTGAATTCTGCGCCCGGATGTGGCATTTAAACCCATTTTATTTCTAAAACAATGACATGAGATTGATTTGAAACCTAAGACTTCACGTCAAAAATTGATTTGTTAATCTTCAGGAAATTAATCTTAGAAACTTTGGTATTCTTTGTCATGGGAGCTTCCGGGTGCCATGTATAACATAGTGCACGCCTTCAGTATGGTTCGACAACACAAGTAATCAGAGATTTACCACATAAGTATGTAAAACAATTTAGAAAGAAATACTCAAAAGTGTAAGAAAAGGAAGAAATTGCCAGGGAAAGTTGGTCGCTGTGTTTGTACCAGCGGCATGGACATGAAATTACTTTGAGAAAACCTGAAGCAGCCAGTGTAGCCAAGGCCACATATTTTACAGAAAAAACTAACGTTGGCTTTTTCTTTCTTTCTTTTCTTCAAAGTTTCAAATCTTCAAGATGTTTTATGTCACCATCTTTCCTATGTTCCTATGTAAACCTCTTTCAAAATATATAATGTACAGGAGACTGGAACGTCCACGTTCCACTCGGCCCTTGAAGTTTGTGAAGGTATTTAAACTAAGGGGAATTTTTCAAACGTTTGTTGCTTCTAGGTGGACGCAACGCGTGTCCAAGTCCCTGCACTTGGGAGTAATCCTCCATTAATAATCGCGCGTAGGAGTAATCCTCCATTAACATTATTTGTCATTATATGTCACGTCGCAATTCAGTCAGTTGTCAAGAGGACTGCCAGGAAGCATCTCCGCGTACGTGTCTCCCACTACACACTCCTGCGTCCCTACCCAGCGGCCAGAATTGGGAAGAAATCAGGATAGGGGAAGGGTTTAGGACACTTCACAGGGGTTGGACTACCCTTGTTGGGACACATTTCACATGAGTTTGTCCGGGAATCAAACCCGGACCTCCTTGATGAAATGCGAGCGACTTCGCTCTGAGCCACGAGAAATTATCAGGTGAGCATATATGTTCCAAGATCGATTTGCTAGACGCATTTCTTCATTTACCATTGGACAAAGTAGATTTAGATTTTATTCAGTCAAAAAAAAACAAACAAAAAAAAACAGTAAAAACTGTATGTGGCGTAGGGGGGAAATGATTATCTGCGCACGTTTTCTTGAGTTCCAGAATCCCTTCCCGCCATTTTAGCTATAAATAGTTGAAAGATGAGTAAAAGTTTAACATAAATAAATAAAAATAAATTTTAAAAATCGCAAGATTATCTTAAGCACTGTTGGGAAGCTTTTTACTGTTTCAGAAAAATTTGAAAAATAGTCATTTGCGTTATAGAAAACTTATTTTCATCGGTACACGAATTGCAAGTATAATTTTTCTGCATTGCTAACAAAATAGCAACACGCCCTTACCTCTACTTTTACCATTACAAGCAAACGGAGAGTTCAACGAACCGTGCGCATAGAGAAAATACATTTACGTCCAGAAGCTGAACAAGGGGCCATCTCAGCATTTGCTCAATGGATCAGGGAAACGTCAAAAACTTGATCGACATGGGGTCATTGATACGGAAGCTGAAGTACATTATTTGTACTTCAAAAACTTAAAAAAAATATATACAGTACAAATGTAAACTAATTCATTATATATCACAGTTTTGTTAAAATTAACGATATTGTTCTTTTTGATAATCAGTGTCGGTACCAAGTACCAAAAATACATGGAATAGACACACGTTTACTTGTGGGCCAGGAATTTTTCAAAATTTCTTACTGCAACATTTTTCAAACTTTCATTGCTGCCCAAAGAACCTCAACGACAGTTTAGGATCGGGTAAAAACGAAAAATAGCATTTAAACGATCTAATATTTTTACAAGGTAAAATATTGAAATTCTTCAGAAGTGTGATTTTTTTAGAAATATTCTTGGTCACATTATTGGTAACAAGGTTGTTTGGCATACTGCAGTGCGTGTAGATACGATTAAAAAATCTTAAATAACAGCAAAAGGTAATGGAAAAGATAAATTATTTTTTGATAATTCTGCCCAAATATCATCTCCGTTGAACAAACAAAACAAGAACGTACTGCATTGGAATGGACAAAATATTACAATGAAATCATTCAAGAAATTGCAATGTTGATTTCTGACATTGACTACTTATGATATATTTTGAAACCCATAAATCAATTGGCCAACGGTGACATGTTTTTCAGGATGCCGATGAGATAACTGTAAATTTGGAAGACAACTCTTTTCAACGGGACGTGGCAGACGAAGAAACAGTAAAATGCTTCCCCAACAGTGCTTAAGATAATATTTCGTAAGGCAGCGAACTTTCTCAAGCAGATAAGAAATTACATACTGACTGCATTTGGGGTCGGTATTTGACTGCATTTGAGGTCGGTATCGACCCCCCCCCTCCCCGGGTTCGATAAAGAAAACTCAACAAATAATAATTGTTATTGATGAACGATATTCTATCGTGAAAGAAAATACTCCATGCAATGCGCTCTGCGGAAATGCCAGGCCAGTTAAAAAACTCAACATTTTGTAACCATTGCACAACAATGAAGATTAGAAACTTCACTAGTCAGAAACGGAAGCGTCATCGACTAGTGTAAACAGACTCGGCGACTAATGTGGGTATGGTGAGTAGCTACACCCACCCGAAAATTTCCGGGTGGGTAAAATACTCACTCGGATTTTTTTTGCTCAGAATATCATAAGGGGAATTGTTGGACCCAACAATTCTTTTAAAAGGGGTCGATGAACGATAAAAGTTGGGAATCCCTGGAGCAGATTTTTTAAAATTTATTTTCATTTGGATAGAACAATACAAATATCAGTGTTTAATACACTCTACATTTGATATATTTGCTTATATTTACTTATAATTAACTTAAAATAATCTTACTAATAATCTTAAAATACAACTTACATTACTACTAGAGTGGTAGAGGTATCTTTATATAATATCTCTACTTTGGTTCGAGATCTGAGAATTTATTTAGGAATGTATGGTAAGGAAATTTATTTTCGATGCGGGTTCTGTGTAATGGATTTTGGCGGACTCTTAGTGGGGTTAGGTTGGGTAAACTTGGAATGTTCTGGAAGAAGTGGGTGGATACAAAAATTATATTGTTGGATATCGGTTCTAGCTGGAATTCTTTATGGAGTTGAGCATTGGAGGTGTAACATGGGGCATTCGTGATGGTGCGGAGGAAATTATTTTGGATTACTCGGAGTTTTTTGTATTACATTTGGCTGCGCTGATCCAAACTGGGCATGCATATAATAGTAGTGGTCATATGATAGGTTTATAGAGCAATAAGGCAGTATTGTGTGGTAGTTTTTATTGATTTATTTATTATTGGTTTTAGTTGGTGCAGTTTTACTTTTACTTGAATAACTTTA